TGCTGGATGAGAATTCCCTGGACAGCGGGACGCGCTGGCAGCGCTGCCGCCTGGTGCTGCGGCGAGCGGGGCCGCCCGACGCCGAGGAATTTGTGCTGGAGCTCTTTGACCCACCCAAGGTAAGGATCGGCCGCCTCTTGCCTGTTCCTGCAGTGATGGGGGCTGGGGACGATGCCCAAATGCCAGAGCATCCCACAGGGAGGAGCAGGGGCACGGATGGGTTTGTTCTGCCCCTTCTCTGCCTCTGCTGCTGCCACACGAGGCTGGGGCTGGTTTGTTTGATACCTCTGAGAAGGAGACAAAGCCACTCCTGCGGGGTCAAGTGTGGGGAGCGAGAGGTGCTGAGACCGAGGTGTGCTAATTGCTGCAGTCGGGTCAAGGTGTCATTGCATTTCTCCCTGCTGGGATTTCCAGCTGGAAGCAGAACGCCTGCCTTCAGAGCTGAGGATGGAGGCTGCAGCCTCCATCCTGCTCATCCCAGCCTCATGGACCCGTTCCACCAAGGTGCAACCCAGTCTGATCAACCCCAATTTCCCCCAATCCCCTGTGCTGAGGCTTCAGCTGCTTGAGCATCTGCTCGCCCAGGCAAGCTGGGAAAGGAAAGGGAAAATAGGAATGAGGCTCTGTGCCTTTCTGTGCTCCCAGTGGGACCCATAGTTTTGCTTTTTGTGAGGAGTTTTGTGACTGGAAGTTCAGCTCTCGGCTGCTGCAGGGAGCTCCCGTGGTGCTGGGACGTGGCTGGAGTGGAGATGATGCAGGATGTGAGGGAGTGCAGAGTGATGTGGGGGGAGCTGGGGTATTTAATCTGTAAAAAAGACGGTTCCTCCACATGGCAGGACTTGCACAGGCATGATGGGATGAATTCTCTTTTTTTTTCTTTTTTCTTTTTTTTTTTTGTTCTCGTTTAACTTTGATGACAAACTTGTGCTCTGGAAGGAGGAAACCTCCGGTAGAGCTGGAGCCTTGTCCCTGCCTTCAGGGCAGCAGGGTCAGGGAGCAGCTGGCTGAATTCCTGCTATTTCCGTCAAATGACTCCAATATTAAATATTTGAAAAAAGAAACAACATCAAAATTGTGACATCTGAAAGTAAAAGCTGGTTTTGCTCCATCATGTCAAGGGTTGCAGTTGTTTGTCCCCGTGGGAGTGTGTGTCCCCATGCCGGGGCACAGGGAGGTCAGAGGTGCTCTGGGGCACTTGGAGGCTGCTCCAGCAGCTGGGTAGCACTGCCTTTCTTCCCTCCCTCACCCCTTTTCTCCCCCTTTTTTCCCTTTCCCCCCTTTCTCATTCTTTTAATCCTTTTTTCTTTTTTTTAGTGACTGTTTTTTAATCCATTTTTCTTTTTTCTTCCTCCTTTTTCTTTTTTCACTTCCCCTTTTCTTTTTTCAATTCCCCCACTTTTTTTTTTTTTTTTTTTTTTTTTACTGCCCCCATCTTTTTCTCCCCATCCCCACCCTTTTGGGGTTTTTTTTCCCCTTTTCCTTCCTTTTCCTTTCTTTGCTTCCCTCCCCCTTGGGAATCAAGCCCAGCACATTCTTCCTCTCCCCACATTCCCTGCCCAGCTTTCACCCAGGGACGGGAGACACTTCAAACAAGGCACTGACCGAGTTCCCCTGCTGCTCTGAGCGTTATTCCTTGCAGTCTCCACGGGATGGAGATTTCCTGGTGCTCCAGGAGCCCCGAGCAGGAGGTTTCTCAGCCAGGCCTGCGGAAGTGGGGGATGTTCCTCGCTGGATTTTGCAAGTCTCCGGATTAAATTGCTTCCTGTGCAAATATTCTCAGGGCGGCTCCTTCCTTTCCAATTCTCTGGGCCGGGGCCAGCTCCGGTCTCCTTCACAGCACAATCAATCCAGACCCTGTCCCAGTGGCTGCGGGAGAATTCCAGGGGTGGTGGAAAGTCCCCTGTGGTTCTGGTGGCTCCCGCTCCCCAAACCCAGCACGGGGCCAAACCACGCAGCAGTGAGAACAGAAGGGTTTGTTGGGGGGTTTGTTTTCCCTTCAAATAACTAAATAATACTCATCAATCCCCTGGGAATGGCTGTGAGGAGCCCCCTCCCCTCCATCCTCCTGCCCTGGGATGCTCCAAGGGCTTTGCCACTGCCTTTTCCCCTTCTCACGGTCTGTTCTTGATTTGAGGATGCTGTTGATCACCGTGGAAAATGGATGGTTTCAAATAAGCAACTGGAAAATCAGTTCTTGGGATTTTTCAGCCTCAACTGATCTCTGAACTGTGAGGTTTGTCACCCTCAGGGTCTGCCTGGAAACACCCTTCCCCCTTCCTTCCCTCTTCCTCCCCTTCCTTCCCCCTTCCTCCCCTTCCTTCCCCCTTCCTCCCCTTCCTTCCCCCTTCCCCCTTCCTCTTCTTCCTTCCCCCTTTTTCCCCTTCCCCCTTCCCACCCTGTAAATAATAGGATGCAATTGAAATTTCATCTCAGCCTCAGGGCTTTGCAGCATCAAGCCAAGCCCCCAGATATCCCTGCCCTTGGAATGACCTTGGAGAAGGCAGGTGTGTGCAGAAAGGAGGGGGGGGTCTCACTGCTTTTGGCAGCTTTTATCTAATTTTTTCCCCCTTTTCTCCTGGTGCTCCAATGAGGCCTCTGAGCTTAATCCCATAAAGTGCCTGGCATCAAAGGGAGAGGGGGCTTTGAAGAGCCCTGATCCCATTTCCTGCTTGGGTGGCTGTGCTGGGTGAAGGGGTCAGGGAGCTGTGCTGGAGAATTGGGCATCCCCTGCCCCAGGCGTGTGCCAGAGGAGATGGGGATTTGGGGAGGGGGAGCAGCTCCCCTTCCCCCGCTCACAGCCACAGCTGCCTTGGTTTTGGCATCGCTCCCTCCTCCCTCCAGCACTGGAAAAACGATGTTGTGAAGGAAGGATTTGGAGATGATGGGATCTGGAGCTCTCCTGGGTCACTGCCTGGCTGGGTCACAGGGCTGGGGGACAATCCCAGCCTGGGGACATTCCCGAGGGTGCTGGGATGTGAGGGGGCCAGAGGGAGGTGATGATGCTGTGTGGAACAGGAATCCAGGGATATTGGGATAACCTGGAGTGCTTGGGCTGTACATCTGTCTGTGCCACAGCAAAACCTGGGCATGGCCCTGGGATTTCAGCCCACGGGGATTCTCTGATGTCTCTTATGAGGGTGATGCTCAACAATCCTCCCTGATTTTTCCTTGGGGGCATTAAGTGCTTTCTCCTCTCCCACACCATTTAATCCCATATAACCTTCAGGACTGGATACCTTGGAGGTCTCTCCACCTTCATAAATTTCAACCAAAGCTGGCAAACCCAGGTTTGTCCCTTTTGGGGCTGCCCCGTTCCTCAGCTGAGCCCAAGCCCCAAATCCTCTCACGTGGCCAAATCCCAACCTCGGTGAGCGCCGTGATTCGCAGCGGAAACGTCCCGAGCCCTTTCTGTTGACCAGATGTTTTCACAGGAAGGGGAAGGGAAATGGGATTTGCATTTGTGCCGCTTTCTTTATAGCGTTTTAATGAAATCCAGCGCATCCCGTAAATTGATGGCACGCCGGGACCAGCCGGGAAGGCTCCTTCCGGAAAAAGCCCTTGGAGCCTCTGCCACAGCTCAAACATCTTTGCTGAAGCCACGGGAGGAGCAGTGTTTTTATCTCTGCTCAGTGTGAAGCTGCTTTGACTTCCTTTTTTTTTTCTCTTTTTTCTCTCTTTTCTTCCTTTTTTTTTTCCCTTTTTTTTTTTTTTTTTTGTCTTTTTTTTTCTCTCTCTCTCTTTTTTTTTTTTTCCTTTTTTTACCCCTTTCACCTGAATCTGGTTTCTGAGAATTGCCACCTCCTGAGCCAGCAGGTTCCTGTCCCTGAATTTTGGTGCCTGGGGCTGTGAGTAGCAGCTGGTGGTGCACGGGATGGGGCACATCCCAGAGTTTTGGTTCCCGTTCCCCATCCCTGCTCCTCCTGGAGCTGCTCAAACGTGGCCTGAGTGACTCAGCCAAGGAAGGGCAGTGGTGGAGGGGGAGGTTTCCTCCCTGGAACACCTTGAGAAAGGTTTTTGCCAGTGATGGGAAGCACCTCAGTGTCCTGGCATCCTTTTCTTGGCATTCCTGGGGACTTCATCCCTCTCTTGGTATCCTTTTCCTGGCATCTCCATTCATGGCATCCTTCTCCTGGCATTCCCAGGGACTGCTTCCCTCTCTTGGCATCTCCAGGGGCTGCATCCTGTCCTGATGCAGCTCCTTGCAGGGGGTTGGACTCGTTGACTTTTCAAGATCCTTTCCAACCCAAACTATTCTGTGCTTCTGTGATCCCTCTCCAAACATCCTTCTCCCAGCATCCCTCTCCTGGCATTCCCAGGGACTGCATCCCTTTTTTGGCATTTCCAGGGGCTCCATCCTGATCTGGTTGGTGTCCCTGCCTATTGCAGAGGGGTTGGATTTGGGTGGCCTTTGAAGGTCCCTTCCAATCCAGATTATTCTGTGATTCTGTGCTCTTGATCCTCGAGGATCTCATCCCTCTCCTGGCAACCCCAAGGACCACACAAAAAACTGCTGTGATGACCAGCCAGAGGGGTTTGGGCGTCCTGCAAATCCCTTGGGAGAGGCAAAACCTCTCCTAAAGGCACCTGGAGCTGCCCCCAGCCCCTCGGGCAGCCTCTCCCCGGGGCAGGGCGGGCGCTCTCCGTTCTTCGAAGGCACCGGGCTTGGCCTCAGGGCTTTGTGAGATTTTGGTGATGACTTTTGCTCTCTTCCCCCTTCCCCCGCCCCCCCCCGGCTCTGTTTTTGGGTATCGAGGGGTGGGGG